ACACCTGCTGGACCCCTGCAGTTTGCTTATCGGGCAAACAGGTCAGCAGATGATGCAGTCAACCTGAGACTACACTTCATCCTGTGCTAACTTGGCCTCCCAGGGATGTATGCCAGGATCCTTTTTGTGGACTTCAGCTTGGCCTTTAACAACATCAACCCAGACATCCTCCACCAGAAGCTCACCCATCTCACAGTGCCAGGGTCCACTAGCTTCCTGACTGACCAGCAGCAGCAGGTGAGGCTGGGGAGCATCTTCTCCCGCTTAAGGATCATAAGTACCGGCGCCCCCCAGGGGTGTGTTCTCTCCCCACTCCTCTTCTCTCTGTACACAAATAAATGCAGCGGACCTGTCTGTGAAACTGCAGAAGTTTACAGATGACACCACCGGTATTGGTCTGATCCGGGACAATGACGTGTCTGCATACAGACAGGAAGTGGATCAGCTGGTCCACTGGTGTGGCAGAACGACCTGGAGCTGAACGCATTAAAGACAGTGGAGATGATGGTGTACCTCTGGAGAACACCCTCCCGGACTGCTTCCCTTCACCATCCTCAACAACACTGTGTCTACTGTGGATCACTTCTGGTTCCTATAGGAACCGCCCTTTCTTGAGTTCTGAGCTCGCCCTCACACACAGCCACTGTTTGGAAGAAGGTTCCGCAGACACTGCACTTCCTGCAGCAGCTCAAAAAGTTCAACCTTAATCCACAGGAGCTGCTGGTCATCTTCTACACTGCCATTACTCAGTTTGTCCTGTGTTCGCCCATCACTGTGTGGTTTGGCTCATCCATAAAACAGGGCAGGTCTAAACTACAGCTAACATCTCTGCAGACCCCACACATCCTGGTCACAAACTGTTTAAATGTTTATGCAACAGAGCACAATTTGCAAAAACCAGCTGCCACAGAGACAGTTTATTTCCCCAGGATGTCTCCTTGATGAAGACACTTAACAGTCAGAGTGCACAGATCAATACCATGCATATTTGCAATAATTCATTGCCCTCAGGGAGATATGACATTCATTAATTTGCATGTCTTTCTCTTTTGTAAAAACATATATATATATATATATTTACAAAAAAATATGTTTGTTTCCCTATTTTATATGTTTTTGTATTGTATTTAAAATGTCTGCATTGAGAGCAAAGTGTAACAGAAGTCAATTTCCTTGTTTGTGTGCACAAACTTGGTAAATAAAACTAATTCTGATTTTCCTGCACTCTGTCCTGCAATTTTCAACATTAGTGCTGTGCAGCCATACAGCCAGCAGGGTGTCAGTTCATGGGGGTTCTGCCTTAAAGTGTAAATGAAGAGCCAGCAGCCAGAAAGTCCGCCTTCTGCTCGCTCCCCCTGCGGGTGTAAATCACACAAAAACTTAATTACTGGCCTGGGTGTCACATAATTAGACTCAGTCTGCTCTTCGACACAGAACAGACCTGAGAGCCTTATTTTTGTCCTTTTCCCAAGTAGTTCTTTTAATGTTTAGAAATAAAAAAAAATCCAACAATATGGAAAAGGATGGGCAAATCTTTTACTATGCAAACTTGTATATTTTGTATAGATTATGGAAATTTAATTGAGTATGCAGCTGTTAACGGATAAATAAATCATGCTGTATTTCTGTTCTGAGCTAACCACCTGTTAATCAAGTGTAACATCTTTATAACTGCTGTACTTTCTCAGCTGTGAATGGACACGTTTCTACTCGATAAGATCGCTTCTGACTCTGTAGAAACTGCGACTTCCATTAAACAAATTAAATACCCAACATTAAACTGTCCTTCATTGCTTTGGGCAAGTAGTTAATGGAACGAAGGGTAAGTAGTTCATATATTGACGCTGTTTTATTTCAGCATGAAGCAGTCAACTCTGGTCTAAATCAGTGGTGGCGCAGTGAACTTTATGGACTTAGATGAACAAACTTTTAGGATAAAAACTTTTAATCTTCAGCCTTAAAGCCAATTCTGCAGGTTTGTGTTCCGGTTTCTAGAACCCACACGTTGAAATTCAAAGTCAGGTCTGTTGGAACATTACTGGGAAGAATCAAACCAGTATGCTTAATAGTTGAGAAAATATATGAGGAATATGAAATACAGTTAGTGGGTAAAAACATCCAACAATTAATATATAGAGAAATTTATCTGCAAAGATAATAACTGTAGGGAAATTTTGTGATGGCTTGTTAAAACAGAAGAACTGCAGACAAAGGTGCTTAGTACTTAACTGAACTATTTTAATTCTATATTTTGGTCTGGATTTTCCACTACTATCCATATTACAAACATAATTTTAGCTATTTGTGTTAATTTTATTGATTTCTAGACTCTCACTTGTGTTCTCTCAATCTCTAGATGAGTATCACTGCATGAAAATTAAAATGCAGAGACAAATATTCCAAAATATTATTATTGAATCAACAATATGTGATACGATTATGGCAGAAAACTGATGAGGTCTGCAGGCTAAATATTAACAGTCTGCAGGCCAGCTACTGCAGCAGCTAACCGACTTAATATAAACAGTCTGAAGGCTAGCTACTGCAGTAGCTAACAGGCTAAATATGAACAGTCTGCAGGCTAGTTACTGCAGCAGCTAACAGGCTAAATATAAACAGTCTGAAGGCTAGCTACTGCAGTAGCCAACAGTCTCAATATAAAATTTCTGCAGTCTAGCTACTGCATCACCTAAGAGGCTAAATTTAAACAGTCTGCAGGCCAGCTACTGCAGCAGCTAACAGGCTAAATATAAACAGTCTGAAGGCTAGCTACTGCAGTAGCCAACAGTCTCAATATAAAATTTCTGCAGTCTAGCTACTGCATCACCTAAGAGGCTAATTTTAAACAGTCTGCAGGCTAGCTACTGCAGCAGTTAACAGGCTTAATATAAACAGTCTGCAAGCTAGCTACTGCAGCAGCTAACAGGCTAAATATAAACAGTCTGCAAGCTAGCTACCACAGCAGCTAACAGGCTTAATATAAATATAAACAGTCTGCAGGCTAGCTACTACAGCAGCTAACAGGCTAAATATAAAACGTCTGCAAGCTAGCTACTGCAGCAGCTAGCTTGCAGGCTTAATATAAACACTCTGCAGGCTACTGCAGCAAACAGGCTAAACATCCAGCTAAAATAACTGTTGCCAAGAAACACCTTAAATATAGCAAATTAAGTTTTTATTGATTCATCTTCAGTTCTTTAGTTTTCTTAACTCTGGTATGTTTTGACACTATGGTCCACTTAGGATATACAAGGAGTACCAGTAATACTTTTTTTTTTGTACATACTTTGTATACTATCTACAATAAAAATCAAAATTTACCAAAACAACAGAAATGCAGTAAAGTATTTTAGCACAGTTTTATTTTAAATAGGGAAATTTAATTTTGCACTCTGCCCCATTTGTTTAGGGGTTCAGCCAGTGTTGTGTCCAACATTTCCATTTCATTAACATTCTGAAATCAGAGGAAGCAATTTTAACTACAGCTGGGAGGGACTGCTATGTGAGGACTTGGCTGTCTGTGACTCATTTATATCGGGGAAGGATCCATGGCATCGCATGCTGCTCGTTGAAAGAACAATATATGCTTTCACATTAGACTCTCCAAAAGTCTCCAATAACACCATGAAAGTTGTCAGATTTGGCTTAAGTTATTTTTTGTGCGTTGCTGGAATTGTCTGTCCTTCTATTGAGAGAGTTTTCAAAGTCACCAAATAGGCAACAATGAACTAATAGTTTTGCTATACCATTATTTTTCCTCCAAAAAATGGCCGTCCATGGACATGTTTTCCAAAATGTGACAAAAATGTTTAAAATCAATTTTGGTTGGTCAACTTTAACAAATTTCTGGCCAAATATTCAGTTAAGTTAAGAGCAGAAATATTCATATCCAGGCAGATTTAGATTAATTTAAATCATTCATTCAACCAAGACGTTTGTTTCTGATAGGGAATAAGACAGGCATCTCAAAATAACGTCCACAAAAACAGTGAGACGAGTTGGACAAATACATTGACCATCTCACCTGTTTATTCATGAATATGTATATAAAAGGGTTGACAACAGTGGAAAACTTGGCCAGCAGCGACGGCATGATGCTCGCCTCCGGGGTCAGAAGGTCTCTAGGGCCAAAGGTGGCGAGCAGAGCCGCTACCCCGTACGGCAGCCAGCAAACCAGGTAGCAGACCACCATGATGATGACCATCACCAGCACTCGCTGCTCTCTGCGACGGGTCACTACTGAGCTCACTCTGCGCACCTGCAGGACAGAAAATACCTTACTGCAGAACTCTGATGACTCAAAGTTAACCCACAAAATATCTTAAAAAAGCTATTTGACCCTTGCTATTTTAATATAATTATCAAATAGGATAGTTTCTTTCAAATAATTGTCATTTATTTGTTCACAAGCCTGCCTGTGAGTTACAGTTACTGTGTGTGTACATAGCCAACTCGAATATTTACCTTCAATAGCTACCTGTCAAATTCAAAGCCAGATTTTCCATCCATAAAAATCAAAATCTGTTTGCCATCCCAGTCAGTCCATTTTAAATTACAAAATATTTTAAGTCAGAATGTTTCTGCTTAATCTTCAATCTTGCCCAATCAAGAAGAGGAATTTCACAACGTCTAAAAATGCAAAACAAGTTTTAGTGTCTAGATAAACAATAATTTAGAATGAATATATGTGTAGTCACAGTTAATCCAGTGAGTTTAACCTGAATTTCATTATTTTTTTAGCAGATGTTACCTCCCCATGTCTGGTGCCAACCGTATTAAAAAGTTTAAATTCAACAAATAACTGGAAAAATGTGTACCTTTTCCACTATTACTGTTTTTCTCTTGTTTTCAGAATAAACAATAGAATATAATGCCCTCATTGTCACTGTATTCACATACAAGATAAGATAAGCTTCTTTGGTAAGGTGCTTCATACCACAAAGCACACCTCACACACACACACATGCAGACATAAAAATACATGTCCCACATCTCACGCATGCATGGTGGGTTAGTGGTTAGCATTGTTCCCTTACAGCAGGAAAGTCCTGGGTTCAAATCCCAGTCTGGCCTCTTGCATGTTCTCCCTGCTCATGCCTGCATGAGTTCTTCTTGGGTACTTTTGTTTCCTCTCAGAGTCCCAAAGCATGACTGTTAGATTGGCTGCTTGTTTTTTCTGAATTGCCATTAGGTATGAGTATGTTATGGAGCATTGTGTTTCACCTTCCGCTTCTTGCCCAATGACCACTGGAGACAGGACCCACACCCATTGCAAAACTGCAAGGATGTGTGGGTGTAACCATGAATGGATGGATGGATGGATATCATTCCTGCCTTCACATGCATATCATAAAAACAACACACACTGTCTCAATAAATAAAGTGCTGTGTTTCTGCAAGGTATAGCAGCATTTAAGTGTTATTGCTTATGGAAAGAAGCTGTTCTTTCATCTAGTCTTCATCTTCTCACACGTGTCACACATCTCCCTGAGGGCAAAAATCAGTGATCATGGCACAAAAATACACGTCAGTAATCTTGGTAGTTTCAGAAAACAATCTAGAGGCAATTTTCTCTAAAGATGAAGGAAGGTGGCCAATGATCTGTGTTACTCCCTCTGTTTGCTGCCATTTTATTTGCTGCAGAGCATCCAGTGTACCATACAGTCACACAATACACCCGGATGCTCTCTATGGGGCAATCTTTAAGAGTTTAAGGCTGTGAAACCCCTCCACACATTCACAATTGATGGGAAGGAGCGGTTAGCAGCACACTTTCTGAAGTCTAAATTATTTCTTCTTCTCTTTCAAGAATCAAGGTGTCTTCTGAGCACCGTGTGGCCAGTCTATATGTCTCAGCTCTACAGGCGCCTCCTTTTCCTCCTGAGATGAGTCCAATAACAGTGTCATATTCAAACTTTATGATGGTGTTAGAGAGGTGAGGGACGTTGCAATGCAGTGAGAATAGTAGTGGACTCAACATAGCTGTGGGGAGCTGTGGTGAGAATGAGGAAGATGACATGCGAGGACCAAGCTTGCCTGTCTGAGGTTGATTGCTAAGAAACTCCTCAATCCAGCAGCAGATATGAGAAGAAAGGCTAAAGTCAGAATGTTAATATTTTTATTGTATTTTATTGATAGATCCCCTGAGATAAGAACCAAACTGGATCAATGAGGACTTTTTTATACTATCAGGGGAGATAGTATTAAGAGGCTGACATTTAAATCTGCATTCAGAAATGACCTGATAGTCATAAATACTGCACTATCATATTACAATGAAAATAATCACCGAGATGGAGAGAAAGAGTGAGAAAGGGTCAGGCCATGGTGATGCAGTTTTGATTACTCTTAAATGGAAGTACTGAGCAATAATGCAGCTAACTTTCCTCTGAGAGAAATATCTGCTGACTGCTCAGTCTACAACTATCGTTTTATGCATGAAAGCTTGATTTTCAAAGTTAAATGGAGCTTTACATGACTGTATATAGCTTTAGATCAAAATCAAGCAGTTTTTAGTCGCTTCTGCATGACTGTGATTCCAAAAATTACGTTTTACTTTACAGTGAAATAGCTCAAAAACTTTTGGTCCCTGAACGTTTTCACAAACAATGTGTGCTGAAAAATTCAGACTCCTGTTTCTTTCTATTTTAATGTAGAAAAATATTGTGGTTACAAGGAGATAACAATTTCTAAACTCTTACAGATGAATGTAAACATCCTTTTGTGTCTTGAAAGTGCCCTTAAAAAGGATTCATATCAATTTAACTGTTTCACAGCTTGTGAAGTTGCAACCGTAAACATCAGTTGATAACAATGAGATGTTATATGATAGACCAATAGTGTTGAAACATTTTGTCACGTGGGCCAAAATTGTCAAGCGAAAAGTACACAAAACTGTCAGAAACAGGGCCGTAAATTACTGTAGATCCAAACCCATAAAAAGGGTTTTGCATGTTTGCCTTATTAAAAGAAAGGCATTCAGTTTCCAACTTCTTTTGGGCCCATTTAAAAGAAAAAACATGAAACCATAGTCTATTCTAAGCAATAAGAATCGGATTTGGGCCGCTCTTTCTCTACACATGCTTGCTGTATTTATGTAAGTTTCATAAATTAATTAAAGGTAAATCTGAGTGGATCAAAGTCTGCTTTTGAGTACAGGCCACTGGACAGATGTGGTTTTATTTAATATTTTACTACTAATTTGTCTATAATAATTTTTGTCCTAATTACAAATAAAAAGTCTCCATCTGCATCAACCACATGTGCCGTCAGGCCAAATTTGTTTTATTCATGAATTACAATCAGGGGCCAAACAACATCAGTTCAGAGGCTGCAAATTGCCCCCCGAGCCGCACTTTAGACACCCTGTGATTAACAACACAATAGCGAAGAATTTTGAAGAGGAAGGAAAATGAAACATTGTTTGCAAACATCCTTTTCATTCATACCCATTCCGCCTGAGATAATACTTTGGATATCCACTTTCACTAAAATTACAGCTGCCAGTCATTGGGGGTATGTCTCTACCAGCTTTACATACTTTACATAATTCTTTGCAAAAAAGCTCAAGCCCAGTCAGATTGGATAGAGAGAACCTGTTAATGGGTTTTTATTCTGCTGAAAGGTGAACTTCTGCTCCAGACTGGTTTTTTGCAGCCTCTACCAGGTTTTCTTCAGGATTATCCTGGATTTAACTTCATCTTTCTTCAAATCAACTCACCAGCTTCTCTGTTTCTGAATGAATCAAATAACCCCTATCAGCACAGATTAGAGGGCCTCTCCTTCTATTAAGACAGACATTTTTTTCCATCATGTGTCAGTCTCTGAGCAGTCACCTTTTGACCAATGATTTGCTGGACTAAATAACACCTTCAGTGTTACCCTGAGCAACCTACAGCATTTCAATGGAGGTGACAACTGCTGTGTCAGCTGGATGCCGAGCGAGTTCAAAGTATATTTCCAGCTCTCACTTCCTACTGGACAAGGGTAGTTTTTTAATAGCTGCATATTCAGGAAAAGCAACTATAATATGTTAAGACGGGTGACAGAGTCAGGTCAATAACAGACCATCAAGGCTCATTTGAACAAGGACAACCTCAATATGATTGCTGGGCTGACAGACAGCGGTGATGCCACTAAAGTCAGAGTACAGTGAAGGTTGGGAAGATGTTAAAAGACTAAAAGTGAGTCAAATTATTTCTAATTTTGTTTATTTTTAGCACATTGTGCATGAATGGCTTTGTGACATGGCTTAAATCATAGCTGAGCCCATTTGGAAGGAACAAAAGAACAAACAAAACACCTGGAGTTTGCATGTTCCCCTTGTGCATATGTGGGTTTAAACTGGGTCCAAAGTGTCTAAAGACTACTGGACTTCTTTTCTTGTTTGCTGAAGACTTTCCGGTTCTCTCCAAAAGTTTTTTTTAGCACAGGACATGGATTGGTATAAGGCTTATAAGCTGTGGTCACAACAATCCCACTAATGGCGCCATTAAGGTCACATATGAGGCTATTAGGTGACAACGATCCAACTGTTGAACCAAATAAGGAGTATTGCCAGTGACTAATGTGACCCTAACGGCCCCATTAGGGACCTTAACAGTATCTGACTACAATTTATAAGGCTGATGCTTCTGACCCATGTTCAGAAATAGAAGCCATTTGGAAGAGAGATGAAACATCTTAGAGAAAAAGAGAAGAAGTCCAGTTGTCTTTTATTAAAGCACAGAGGATTGTCATGTCCTAGATAACTGAGACTCTACACCAACCTCTTAATCAGGTGCTTCAGTTTCCTCCAACAGTCTGAAAACATGCAGGTTAGGTTTGGTTGCCACTTTAAGGTGCCCATGGGCTTCCCAGGCCAGAAGGGTACAGTGGCTTTCAGAAGTCTACAAGCCCTTGTTAAAGTCCAGGTTTTGGTTGAACCAAAAAATAGGTCATGATAAATTATTTATTTTAACCTTTTCCACCTTTAATGTGACATATATCCTGTACAATTCAATGACAAATAGAGAGAAATATATAAACATTTAAAAAAGTGTGATACCTTGGTTGCATTTGTGTTCACACACTTAAACTAAAACAAAAATCACCTTTTGATTCAATTTCAGCACTCAATGTTCTTTGGTTAAAATAGATTACCATCCTGCACCTGAACTCGCCAATATTTGCCAAGCTGATGGAGAAACCTCTAAAGAGTTTAAAGTCTGCAATCTGATTCTGTTATGCTAAATGGAAAATTGAAAAAATGTTGTTTGCAGAGTAGAAGCCTCAACATCTTCTTAAACATAGAGTCAACCCACAGTGGTACACACAAATGCAATATATAAAGCAGAAAAACAAAAACTGGCAGAAGAATTCAAGTTTACAGTTATAGCTGCAATCGAACCTCAAAAATGCTCTCGGCATGGGCAAAACACGGATCAAGGTCTGTCAGACTTTACACATTATGAGCCAGCGGGGTGTGGGGTTCAAGGCTATATCTGCCTTTAATAATCAGGTATTTTGTACAGTTTCAGTTGTTTGTATTCAGCTCATTTAGAATATATAACATTTCAAGGACCCATGATGTTTTCTCCCTTAAGAGATCACCATAACTGACCCTTTGCCTCCATCTCACCCTACCATCGTCCTCTGTCACAGAAACCCTCTGCATATTCTCCTTCATTACATGCATGCCATACCAACTTTATGAAGTGCTTTAAAACAAAGTGCTGCACATAACTGCAAACTGTAAACATAAACTAATAGAAAAGGCATATATAAATATGATATAAGAACGATAAAATATTAAACACAATAAAACCAATTAAAACAAACAAGGTCAAACTAAGTATCTTTGGTTGAAAGCCAATGAATAAATATGGGTTTTAAGTTTTAAAAGCAGGCATTGAAGGAGCCTCCCTAATATGCAGGTGTAGGTTATTCCACAGTTGAGGAGCAGCAACAGAGAAGGCCCTGCCTCCTCTGAGCCTCCTCCTAAACCCTGGTACCTGCAAAACCTGCATTTCGACCGATCTGCGGGGCCGCAAAGGTAAGTATGGATGAATTAGCTCAGAGAGGTACGACGGGGCAAGGTCT